GCACCAAGCATTGGGTGACTGGGCACAACTCTGTGGCTGTGTTTATGCACAAAAGCCAATGAACTGCTCCACTGAGGTGCAGCTGGCGGAGACCGGACAGTGGAGACAGTCCTGTAGCATCTGTCGCAAAGAGTACGGTCTCAAATTCAGTGAACAACAGAAATACCAGATCTTCATCCTCTATCATCAACAGAAAATTGAATCGTCCGCTCTGCTAATTATGCTCTCACCGCTTTATTCGCATGACGTCTCCCCCGTAGTTTTCCTTTGAGTATAAAATGTCTTTGTGGCAAAGAACGTCTCGCAGCCATCACACCGAGACTGGATGTCTTACTTCTTGTGAAGTATAAATCCACCTTCAGTGAGCGAGGCGGAAAAGAAAAAGGTGAAAGCGACTGCGGAGAAGGATGACACAATGAAAGCGCAAGGAAGAGAACTGAGCACAAGAATCGCAAAACGTGAATAAACCTAACCATAAGAATAAACAAACTAACATAAAGAACAGATTCTGACACAACAAGACTCAGGACATCACCGAGAGTAGTTCTGCGACATCAGAGAAGTTCTGCAAAGCACATCGAACTTTTAACATGCTCTGTTCAAAGCTTGCAACTTTTAGGAGCGTAGATGAAAAGGTTGATCTTCAATGTAGCAAAAAAAAAAAAAAAAGACACGTCATGTCTTCTTCTCTTCAGCATCCTGCAGTTTCATCAACTCAGAGCCGACACAAACCTGTGAGGCTCGGGTCCACCTACGACATGTCTGAAGTGGTCTTCAAAGAACTTTACATAGAACTAGAACTAACTGTTCTAGAATTGCGCCGCTCAAGGTGGCTGCATGTTGGAGCAGCTCTGTTACTTTCATTATGAGATTTTGCTTTTGGAAACTTTAATTCCTCTTTTTCTGGATGTAAATCACATTTTTTTGGATGATTGTTTCCTCTGGTATCAGATGCTGTGCAGCTGGAAGGATTTTTACTGAAACTTTTTTAGATTTGGACATTTGTTATGATGCGTAACCATGGCAACAAGGCAGTTTTCAACAACCAACAGCAGCTGATTTACATCTCAAAAACTCAAATAATATCTCCTACAGCTCCAAATCTCAAACGAGTTGAAAGGGATGTTCTGTGGATGCATTCTCATCTACCTGCCAGTTGTGTTGGAGTGCCTGACCACTGAGATCCTGGAACTAGCAGGAAGCACGGCTCATGACAGTGGAAGGTCAGGATCGTCCATCAGCACCTACAGTTGGCTGTCCACAGTGACAAGGAGCTCAGCAGCTGCTGGGAGGAGTGGCCATCGCTCTGGGAGGAGTTCTGCCCGGCATTCGGGTGGTCCTACAGCCCGGGGGAACTGAGAGGCCAGCCGAGTCTGGGTGGATGGATCAGACGGCATCTGCAGCCAGTTTCTTAGGATCCACTGTGGGATGGACCTTTACAAGAGATCCTTCCTGCCTACAGCCATCAGCATCTATAACATCTCTTAATGAAATGAGGATAACGAGTTACAACAACAAATAATTTCCCTCTGGGATTAATAAAGTATTTCTGAATTTAATTGAATTGAATTGAATTGAACTGCATGCTGTGGATTTCTCTGCAGAGAACAGAGAAAAAAACTTGAACTTTTAGTTGTTTAAAATCTCATTAGACTGTAAAGAGAGACTAATATTAACATTTACAGAAGTGGTTGAAAGTCATAGTTGTTCATTAAAGACTGTGATGGAAAACATTTTGCAGATTTTTGTGAATTACTTGAAATTAACACGGGGTCAAACTTAAAGTGCTGCTTTACAGGTTTATGACGTCCACATATCTCCAAAAGATTTCAAAAATATCATTTAGCCATTTTTAACATAAGTTCTGGTTTCATTTTTAATACTTTTAGTGTTTGATGTAAGAAAACTGAAAAGGTCCATCAAGAAGGTTAAGGAAACATGGATTCCTAACTCGGTTATTTAATGTCTCTCTTTATCTATTCCACCAACAGCTTTTGTTCCTTTATTAGTTCCCCAAAGAACAAAACGGCTTCAAACGATGACGTTAAAACTGTCCTTTCTGGTCAGCAAAATTACCGGTAATTACTTTTAGTATCTTCCAACGAAAAGATTTAAGCTCATGAGTCACCTGCAAGTTTTAATTAAGACTTTATCTTTCTGCATTTTTGTACCAAAGTTTTTCTTCTTGAACAGCAGCCTCTCGCTCCGTATTTACATTTATTTCAACAAAAAAAGACCGAACGCAATGAAACACATCCCATAAGATGTGGAAGTTCAACAATTGGAAAGTATTTAGCGTGAAATATTAACTTTTTGAACTTCTAGTTATACATTAAATTTACTAACTGCAGTACAGATTGCAGCAATAAAGTCAGAGGCAAAATATGGTGTGAAGACTTTTTTAATTGAATAAAAAAAACAAGAGCTAATCCACGTCAATGTGGTGCAAATACACTCAAATATATAAAACAGCATCTGTGCCGGTTTCCCTGTAAAGTTCCTTCTCTGGAGACACTTCTATTTGTTTTCAGAGTGAGAGCAGCAGGGTTCGGTTGGTGCAACCGAATAAATACCGGACAACTGTGTGAATACAAATCAGCAGTTACATAACAGGCAGAATTCAGCACAGTGGCTGCTCTGTGCAGCTTTCACGGCAGGTAAATGGACCGAAGCGCACAGATATTCATCTGCACCTACTTGCACACATTTGCATGCATGCTTGTGCAACTCCAACTTTGAACAAGTTTTGATGTCGTGTTAATTAAAAGCAGAATGCAATAAGTTGCTCACACAACTGCTGCCCAGACTATTAAATCAGTATATTAAGGGAGAGGGAACCATGTGGCCTTTCATTAGCTGCTTTTCATTAGCTTTCATTAGCATTAGCATGCTTATAAATCATTCTGATGAATGCAAAGTTTCAGCTGTTTAATACCATTAAAATCCATTTAGGCTTAATCCCTATGAAGGTTACAAAAATGCACCTTTAATTATAAACTTTCTAAACACAGAGTTTTGGACCAAGATTATTTTTGCAACATATTTCAGCATTGAATAGTTATAGAATAATGAAGTAAGAATTGTCCTAAACTTCAAAAGTTTTTAGTGCTTACATGCTGTTTTTCTCGTTTCATTTACCTCTTTACTCATATGCAAAGTGTCAGGAAATAAGTGAAATACTTTCCTACGGAAGAAATAAAGTGAAACTGGAAAATCCAGTCTTTGTCTTTATTTGCAAAGAAGTTTAAGGGGAAATTCTACAACAAACAGAGTTTATTAACAGAATGCAGACGCCATATCAAGCTCGCATATGAGTTGTTGGTTTTTTTTTGTAATCAGTAACAAATTCAAAACATGGTGTTAACCTACAGTAACCAGAGTGACTGGAAAAAATACCCTATCTGTGAGATAAAATGTCATCCGTCACTTCCTCAGTCGCTGCAAAGAAATGATTATCAATACTTATTTTCAACAAAGGGTAGACTAGAATTTCTGCTACAGATTCATTTAGGCCCAAAATATATGGACCTGTTTAAGAGCTTCTTTCAGAATAACCAGTTGTATTTGGTGTAAAGATCAGCATTTGCATGCAACCTAAGGCACCTTGAAGTATAAATATTGATTTTTTTTTTTTTTGTCTTGAGCGATATCTGTTGTTGACTTGTGATAATACTTTAAAGTATTGCCCCATATAAATAAAGACAATACTGACATGTTACTGCTCTTTAGAGGCTTTCTGATTGTTTGTTTCAACATTTCTCTTCATTGTATCTTCAGTAAATTATCAATTTTAGTTGTTTTTACTCGTTTCTAGATTTTTTTTTTAATAAGAAAGTAGATGTGCTAGATTTAAAATGAGTATTTTCTGTCTTCGCGATTGCATCAGCACCAAAGGAAACAAGGCCACGCTGTGCAGCCTTCAAGTCCTGTTGTAAATTCCTACACTAAGTGGTCACTTGCGTTGTAGTGACGTGAGCAATGATAGGTTTCTGTAATATTTTAGAATAATATA